GAATTTTTATTGTTTGGGATTCTTTTCTTACGGAATTTTGTTTCCTTTAGGTTTTGTTTCCTTTAGTTGTAGGAATCTTTAGATTTCTTATTTATTGCGATGTGCATTGTAAATGTAATTAATTTTTATATCAGATTTAAAAGTTCATTCATATTAAATTGGTACAATTACACTCCTATTCATAACTAAGGAAATAAATAAAAACCTACTTAAAATAGAAAAGCACCTACATAAAAGAACGATAACAATGAAAAGAATGTGTTTGGCTATAATTCTATTGTTTTCCCAACTGTATTGCTTTAACATTGTTAAAAGAACCATAACAATGAAAAAAAATATTATATTAGTTTTATTCTTGGCTTGATATCATGTGATTTGAAGCTTTAGTTAATAAGTTCACTTCCATAGTCTTGTTTTACTGTTTTCTATGATTTATGATATATGTTGGTATTATCTGATATATCATTTTGGCGGATGTATCATTCTTAAGTCTTATTTTTATTTTCTTGATGCCTCCCATGATGTTTTACGTGTAGTTTTTGTTTCATGGCTTTGGGAAATTAATTTTATGTGTATTTTTGTAGATTATGCAAGCTCAGAACCTATGATTTATGGAAATACTCGTCATACCGTAAATTAGTGACAGATATATCGAGCCAAGGTCAGCCTTCGAGGTTTGGAAGAAATATTCTTATCCTACTCGTGGATTGTTGCAGTTTACTTTTAATCAAGAAAAAACAACTTTAATTGGCGTTGCTTTAATATCAAGGATATGCGTCGATCTACTTAGGATGTGTAAGTTTCTATATCCATCAATTGCCTCTAGAAAACTAGAGTCCTCTAAAAAAACTATTGTACTATTTAGGAACACAATTTTAATTTATTTCTTTTTTAATCTCCTGCTCAGTTAAACGCTATCACATAAATTGAGACATTGAATATATTACTATAGGATATGCTAATTCCTTCTTTCATGTTGTAATTTTCAGGACTTTGGATGACATTGACCCTGATTAACAAAGCTATGAGGTAGACTATCCATTCATATGTCTTTTGCTGTTATTGTTTTGTATTTATTTTCAAGTTTCCTACTTAACGTATGAACTTCTCTTAAGGTTTATCATGAATTTCAACAGTCTTTTATGCTTAATTTGATTTTCATCATGAGAGGAAGACCACCAAATATTTTTACATGTTGATTTCTTCATCTATGCAATATAACAACAATTGGGATGCATGACACATTTTTTAATAGTCACATCTTGGTCTCGAAAAGAATATCAGGTAACAAAAGAGAAAATATTCATATTAGAATATCTTTTATAAACTCATTAGTTCCCTACTCATTGTATGGCCTTTTACTTAATTAAAGAACCTTATTTTATTTTCCTTGTATTAATGAAGAATTTCACTATTTTCTTGTACGGTAATATTAGAAAAGTAGCAAACCTTTCTTTTTGGAGTTTTTAAGTTTTATTCTAAATTTTCATGTTCACAATAAAAATAAGAAATATTTCAAAATACACATTTTCTTACTTCTTTTAAACCTTTAAATCTTTTTTTTTGATAAATTATAAATTTATGAAGCCCGAAATGAGATGTTGATAGATATTATTTAATACAAATATTACACTAAACCTTTTCACCAATAAAGGTTTGATATAATGAAAAGAATGGGTTTGAATATCTCTCAAATTAATTTCTCCAATATTTTATAAGTCGCCCACTTTTTGTGAAAAGTCTGTTGCAATTGCACAATAGTTCAAATTTTGATAAATCACATTTTGTTTTCATATATGTGTCACCAGTTACCATAGTAAAGCTCATATGAATTTTGCATCATGTTTTAATGTTTTTTTTTCCAGTTCAATTGCTATATACGTAGCTTATTTTGTTGGTCGCATCTAAAGAATTATTAAAGCGCATGTATACTATTATAAAGTATGAAACCCTAAGCGAAATGTTTATTAGCTATATTAATATTCGATAAAGATAAAATTTAAAATATACTTAAACTTTGATTTAACTTCATATTTTGGAATTTGAAAGTTTTTTTTTTGGGAATAAAAATTGAAGTTAATTATAAATTTACCAATATTAATGTAGTTAAAAGAGNTACCGAATGTAAATAGTTTTTGGCATGGGCTAAAAGTGATAATACCCCTTTTCCTTACTCTTAATTATATAAATATTACATTTATCTCGATCAATTATTATTACACGTAATTCATTCTTATTCTAAATTTTACACACTTTTTATTAATAGACGTAAAAACACGTGCAACGTACACTAAAACTAGTACTCCCTTCGGTCCAAAATAAGTGATTTTTTGGTCTTTTTTATCCAAAATAAGTAATTTTTTCAGATTTCAAGAGTGAGTTAATTATTTTTTTCCTACATTGCCCTTGGAGTAAATAGTGTTGGAGTATGTGTTAAGAGTGTTTATGTGAGATAGTAAAGGTTAATATGGTCAATTTCATTGCTAATTAATGTTAAAAAGTGCATTTATTAAACTGTGTGAAAACATCCAAAAAATCACTTATTTTAGATCGGACGGAGTGTATATTGTCGTCAGCAATTGCCTTTATCTTTTTTCTCCTGTTTTTGAGTTTTCTCTTCTTTTTCCCCTTTACCTTATTCAATGGAGTAATAAATTTCTTCTTCTTTCATTTACCGATTAATTTAATTGAGAAACCCAACCGTTTCGTCCTTCATTGGTAGTAATAGCCCATTAATTTCTACCAAAACCCTTTCTTCTTCCTATTTGATTACAACAATTTCAAACGCTAATATCTAATTTTTATCTCCCTAGATAAAAAGAGTTCCACTTTTCCTCCATCCTCCATGAATAAAAAGAGAGTTCTACTTTTCTTCTGGAAACCCATCAAAGTCCCTGTCAAAATTGCACTGTATGTGATATGACTTGGAATTCAACTCAAGTTGGTAATTTAAGGGGCGGAAAGACGGGTAGCTTTTTTTCCTTTTTCTTTTTAATTCGATCAAAAATTCTTGCTTCAAATATGATATTCTTGACGTTTTACTCTTTTGATTTATTTATTTTTACAGGAAAAACGATATTGGCCTGTGTTATCACTACATGCCCTCACCAAAATTTCAAGCTTTTGGTCATCTGTCTTCACTTTCTCTTGCAGGTTCAATCACAAATTAGAAGAGATGCATTTTCCCCCAGTTTTTGTAGCTAAAGATCAACCATTGTTATCATTCGTTGGTCTTATATTTAATTCATTTTTTCTGAACCATTGTTTATATGCCTTTTTGAAGACGGTCATATGTATCGTCCTTTCAGTGGACTTCACAAATCGTGCTTATGGCGTCGGAAGAAGAGAAGAAGACTCGCCGTTCTCTTCTCGATTTCCCCATTGTGAGGTTCAAAACACATTTATTTTGGTTAAGTTATTTAACTTTACTTGCAGTTGTGTTCTTCTACCAACAAATTGCAATGAATTTTTTTTGGAGATAATAATAGCTATTCGGAGTTGCCGGTTACTTTGCGCTAAGAGTAAAACCTAAATGTATAAGATAAAAAGATAATTAGTTTAATGTAGACATAGTTTTTGGTTATATTAGTGTGAATGATTGTTGTTGTTTGAACGAGTCCCACCATAGTATAGAATTATTCTCAATTACAATTTGGTTTATTTTCAGTCTTCTTTTTTATCTTTTATCCGCGAAAGGACACTCCATTTTAATCTTCACGTAAATACAGTTATAATTCTTATATTATTCATTTTTCCTATTTAAAACCCTTGCATATGCTTCACGTTACGAAGTAAATTCTCATTTTGTGATTTTACCAATTCACAGCTTTCACCGTCCGTCAGTTTTAGTGGGAATCAGACTATGCAACGATGCAATTACTCTGCCTGCAAGTTACTGTAGTGGACCTGCATCATATCCCCTCACCTGCTAGCCATGTTGGTTATGGTGGAATTTTTTGATCTAATGTTCGTGGTGGTGGTCGGGGTAGCCCAGCAACTTAAATATGCCTGATGTTACCGTTGAAGAACTCCAAGAACTTTTAGGAAGCATCGGACAAGTAATATGAAATTTCTTTTGGTTATGATTATTTTTTTAGAGTTATTTTTCCATTAGAAAATCATTATTTTTCTTTAATTCACAACTCCATGATGTTCAATGTGGTATTGCTACTTGGAGGATGAAGATAACATGTCTGGATACTGAATATTTTAGATATTTTATCTTTTAGTGATACTATAAATATTGCATGATTTCATGGTGAATTAGTGCATAGTTTGGTGTGATGAATGTTAATTTAAGTTTACTCTTCTGTAATTATGCTTGAGGTTGGTTTCCTCTAAGATAGAAAGATTTAGTGGTCAAAGTTGGAAGTTGATGAAGAATTGTCACGACCCTAACCCTGAACCTGGTCGTGATGACGCCTTTCGTGAAGATAAGGCCAGCCAATTCAATCCAACTCAACTTTTAAAGTAGCTAGTCAACATAAAAATAGTCTAAATATGTTTAAACAGTACTAAATAGCGGAAATATTGATAACAATGCGAAAAGTCCAACCCGACACAGCCTTAACCGGGGTGTCACAAGTCACGAGCATTCTCTAAACCATAATACTAGTCTGCTAAAGTCATAAACTACTACAAGTGTTTGAAAGGAAAACAGAAATGATAGAGAAGTAGAGACACAGGGCTGCGGACGTCAACAACTACCTCGTAGTCTCTGAAAAATCGCCTGGAACTGGAGGAATCAGCACTCAGGAGCGATACCAGCTATGCCTGAATCTGCACACAGGGTGCAGGGAGTAAAGTGAGTACCCCAACTCAGTGAGTAACTGATGTTTAGCTTAAAGCATATATATTTCTATGTATATCACCTCATATTTTACTTTTGTTTCGTAAATTTGGGATGTTAAATGCTATGATTTATATTAATTTGAAGTGTTTCTACATGTAGGAATGATTCGGGAGCAATTGGGGACGAGACGCGCAAGATTTGAGCTAAAATGACCAAAATCGGGAAAAATGTCATTTGGGCTCCACAGGCAGCGCCTGGTGCAAACTGTGGCGCTGAAAATAGTGTTGGCAAATTGGGCAGCGCCCGCGCCAGGCTGGGCGCCAGTGACGTGAATCTTCTCCAAATTCGCCCGGGGCAAGGTTATTTCGGCCCTAGACTTACCCAACACGTATAAAAGCAAGAGAAAACCTATTTTTTGAAGGGGGAGACGCCACTTTGGAGAAAAGAGACAAGAAACATTGAAGAGCAAGAACATCTCAGAATTCTTCATCTTTTCCAGTATTTTCAATCAATCAAAACTTATGCAATTGTTTGATTACATCATGAGTGGTTAAACACCCATTGTTCTGGGGTTGTGATTTAGCCATGAATATTGTTGTTTGATATTAGCTTGACCTTGATTATAATTCAGCAATATATGGTTGTTTCTTCTATTCTGTGATTAATTGCTTAATTGTCTGGCCAGCAGTTAGGTTCTATTTACTAACTATACTATGCTTGGGAAAGCCCTGTTTAGATTAGAGAAGAATTGAAGAGAGCACGATCTTAACCCTTAGGGGGGAGAGGATTTGTGGTTAGGATAGGAATATACCTAGTCACTGTGCTTAATTAAATGTCGTAATCTTAATAAGTTCTTAATAGATTGATTTTATAGGAATACGGGTGTTAATCTATTGAGAATAGGTGAATAGTACTTCAGGAGAAGGCTATGAGAGCATTTATCGATTAATTAGCAACCATGAGTGAATTATATGAAAGGGAGAGTTAATTAGAACACAATACGAATGGTGAATCGATCACAACCCTGGAATACTTGTCTCTACTGAATACACAACAATCAACTCGTTACTTGATAATTTAGTTATTATTTAGAATCGTAGTATAATATAATCATATTATTGGACTTTGATTTTAGCTGGATTGAATAACAATTTTAGTGATTTAGTGAGTAGATTATACAAGTCTTTGTGGGTTCGACACTCAACTTATCATTATATTACTTGTCGACCACGTATACTTGTGTGTGCGTTTGGGAGCAACAAGTTTTTGGCGCCGTTGCCGGGGACTTGAATATAAACTACTTTCTAGTTTTGCTTTAATTGTTTATTTCATCTAGTATAACGTTACTCGATTGTTGCTCTACTCTCAGAAACTTTGATTGAATGCATAGGGTCAGAAGCCAGGACATACTCAACGGCTTTGACCCCGAACCTGAGAAAACATTTAACAGGAGGTTGAGGGAAGCAAGGGATACAAACAATATTCAAGCACTCATTCAATTTCCTGTGAACATGGCAGAGGAGCAACATATGGCTATTCAGGAGGTAGCAATGCCCAATATTGCTAATGTTACCTCCAACATAGTGAAGCCCAGAATCACTGGGCACTTTGAGCTGAAACAAAGCATGATCCAGCTACTTCATGCAAACGGGCAATTTATGGGTCTTCCAAACGAGGATCCACAACAGCATATTCTGAACTTCCTGGAGATTAGTGATACTTATATCACTAACGGGGTCACTCCAGATTATGTGAGGCTCACACTTTTTCCATTCTCTCTGTTGTGCGAAGGTAAGCGATGGCTAAAGGCAGAACTAGCTAATTCCATTACATCATGGAATGAATTGGCAAGAAAATTTCTGGCAAGGTTCTTTCCTTCAGGCAAAACTGCAAAGATCAGAAATGAGATAGTTGCCTTCAAACAGAAAGCAGGAGAATCTTTATACTCAGCTTGGGAAAGGTTCAAGGGGATACTCAGAGACTGTCCTCATCACAATCAGACGAATGAAGTGTTAGTTCACACTTTCATAGAAGGGCTTCATCCCCAACAAAAATTGTAGTTGATGCTGCAACTGAAGGTCAAGTATTGGAGAAAAGCTTTGATGAAATTTATGTGTTATTGAACAAATTCTCCAAAAGCAATCCGGATTGGCAAGGAGAGATGGGTAGGAACATGGTACAAAAATCACCAGGGGTTCTTGAATTAGATGTTGTCTCAGCATTGTCAGCACATGTCTCTACGTTGACCAACCAAGTCAATCAGATGACCATGATCATTAATAAGCAACAAGCCCAGCCAGTGCAACAAGTTCAAATATTTTGTGAAGTATGTGGAGAGGTTCACATGAGCAATTTATGCCCAGCAAATCCAGAATCTTTATATTTTGTAGGTAATGCAAATCGAGGCCAAACAAATCAGTATGGGGACACCTACAATCCCAATTGGAGGAATCACCCAAACTTCTCTTGGGGTAGAAATCAAGGCAATCAAAATCAATACCGGCCTCAAGCACCTCAACAACAATCCAGACCACCTCAGGCTGAACAACAAGCTAGCCTTGAGGAGATGATGAAGAAATTGATGGCCGACCAGCAAGCCCTCAATCAGAAATTAACCGCAGATCAACAAACTTTCAATCAGAAATTAATAGCAGATCAACAAACTTTCAATCAGAAATTAATAGCAGATCAACAAACTTTCAATCAGAAAATAATGGTTGATCAGCAGGCTCAAGCCACAACACTGAGAAATTTGGAGCACCACGTGGGCCAACTTCCTAGAGCCCAAAATACCATACCAGTAGGGGCTCTTCCTAGTGATACTGAGCCCAATCCTAAAGCTCAAGTCAATGCGGTTACCTTGAGAAATGGAAGAGCATTAGAAGAAGTTCCAAAGAAAAAGAAGAATATAGCTCATCCTGAAGGAGAATTAGTTCCCAAGCCAGTTGAGGGGAATGAGAAAGATGATAAAGGACCTGAGCCAGTAATTGAGACTAGGCCACCACCTCCATTTCCACAAAGACCGCAGAAGCATAAAGATGATGCTAAGTACAAGAAATTCCTAGATATTTTGAGCCAAGTGAGTGTGAATTTTCATTTGGTGAAAATTTTGCAGGAAGTGCCTAAGTATGCAAGGTATCTCAGAGATATTGTGGCAAACAAACGAAGACATGCAGAGTTTGAAACAGTTGCACTTACTGAAGAGTGCAGTGCCATAGTTCAGAGTAAACTTCCTCCTAAGTTGAAGGATCCTGGGAGTTTCACAATTCCTTTGTCTCTTGGACAAGAAGTTGGTAGAGCCCTGTGTGATTTAGAGGCTAGTATAAATTTGATGCCATCCTCTTTGTTCAAGCAACTCGGATTGGGGGTGCTTAGACC